TCAAATTTTAATAATTTTATATTTAAAGACACCCACATTTTATTATCAATGTGGATGCTCTAATCCATGGCATGCCTCTTAACTAGTCAACTTCGGTTAGAATTTCGCTTTCTCAACACAAAAACAAAATAAAAACTTCTTAATTTCCAAAATATGGAAGAATAAATAATTGATAAAATCAAAATTGAATTTATGACATTTAATTGTGTGGTTTAATTAGTTCCCACGTTTTCATATGGTTGGACGAGCACGAAGCAGTACGTGCCAAACTCATACTCCACCGACGTGACAAAATGCTTATTATATCGATTCGGAAACTTTGATAAATAAAATAAAATTAATTTGGGAAGATTTTCCGTATTGTTAAAATATTCTCTGTTTCTGGTGTCGGAAAATTTGTCAATGTCTAATTCGGCTTGATTCTAAACTTTCTTTGTTTATCAAATAGCCAAAAAAAGAAAACAGCAAAATAAGATTAAAAAGTGGTAAAACCTACACTAAAAATAAAAAAACTACAAACATTCAAAAACTCATATACTACGTATAGTAATGCTAAACCTACATTAAGTATCAACGACGGGAAAAAAAAAAGGAATGAAGGTTCAAAAAAAAAAATACAATATGCAGTATATTGTTAACAATTTTTAGTTCCTACAAATTTATGTGCTTATTTGTTATTAATGAGTTTATGTAATTAATTTTTTGTCACAATATATGTACTGTTAGAGTACAATATCTAGTCTTTGCTGTTATATGTTGTAATCGCCCCTGCGCAAAGATGATACACACAAATCAAGAAATGGTCCAATTTTTTTTTTTAGCAAAAAAAAAAAAAAAACCTCCAACTTTCTTTTCGGAATGTATTTACCCTCCAACTTAACCAAATGTTTGGCTATTATGTTAGTTCTCAAAGTATACGAAATCACTTTTAGTCGAGAAAAGGTTAGATTAAACATTGTACGATAGGGTAATTCAAAGTTGATAGTATTAATCCATGTAGTTTCGATATTTTGTCACTATAGTTTCAGACCTAATTTCTCTCTTTTTATAACAACTATTGACAATCATTCCAAAGAAGGAAAGAAAACATCACATTCTTAAAAACAAATTTATAATTTCATAAATAAATAATTTTCAAACTCTAACAATGCCATAGTGTCATGTGAACATCTCACTATACAAATAAATATATGAATCAAATTATTAAAAATAAACTCTCCACATGTACAAAGGCGAATCCTTTTTCGTCTTGAATAATGAATCAAATAATTTATTAATTATGTTGATCAAAGTGGTTAAGCCCACTTGGCAAGGATCGACATTACGGAGCAGCCGAACAAAGCGGCCGTGAAGCATTTGATCTGAAGTTTGATGCTACCTTGAAGCATTGATCCCATGAACTCGGTGGCTAAAAGATCAACTAGAGCCATGTAGATGAGCATTCCGGCTGAGCAAGCATTCAACAGCCCGACCGTAATAAGCGCGGTTGGGCTGTTATCTCGATAAATACTCGACAATGCGATTCCGAGAAATATAGCAGAAGGTGTTGTTACAGTAAAAAAGAATGTCATCAAGAACTTCTTCACATTTTTAAAATCTGTCTGTTTAACAAAAAATATATTCATATTAATATAATTAATTTTCTAATTGATATAAGAGACATAAAGTATATATTATAAGTGTATATATTTTGTACCTGGAAGATGCATCCACCAAGACCCATGCCCTCGAACAAGTGATGGAAGCAAAGAGCTACGATGAGACCTTTAATGGTACATGCATCATTAGTAGCTCCTAGAGATAGTCCAATGACCACGGAATGAAATAAAATNCCAAGCTCNAATACCTATTCATGAAATTCAAAAATAGTTNAAATATGGTTATATATATCANTGTATGATTTGAATTAAAATGATAGTTACGTTAAATTCAAGACCGTTTCATATTATTTTCATATGCACTAACCACAGCAATGACACGGTACCGCAAAAGCTGTCCATTTTCTTTAGCCGCTAGCACAACACCATGACCGTGACTGTGGTTTTGACCTACAATGTGAGTGGCCTTCTCCTGATCAATGCCATACTCCTCAGGCGCTGGTTGGACCGCGCTTTTTGCGGTATAAAGGCTGGTGGTAATGGAGTCAATGGCTAGAGTGACTAGACCGGACAACATAGCTACAAATCCCGCGAAAGGGAACTTATGCCACGGCTCATCGCTAAGACATTTTGATGACAACATCTCGAAAGAGTCCGGCAAGACGTGCATGAAACCGGTTCCAAGGATGATTCCGGAAGAAAAACATTTTACGATCATGAAACCGTTGCCATCAGGACGGAGGAACGAAATGTAACGGCTGAAAAGAGGAGTGGTTACACCTATCAAGCTTGTCGTAAAGATGGCTACAATGGCTACGATTTTGAGTGGTAAAGCCTTAGCCTTGTTGATGCACGGATTGTCCGAACCGCTATCGCAACCTTCCGGGGCCGTTGAGATCGCCGGAGAGACGGTGAAGGTGAATAGGATGAGGAGAATGTAGACGAGCTTCATGACTTGTTTGGTAGTAGTCATAAGTATAGAGATTATTTTATAAGATATGGTGTTTGATATGAAATAAATGTTGTCATTGGTTGGTTTATATAGGAATATTTGCCGGCTTGTTCTCGGTGGTGATGTGGAAAGTCAATTTATAAATTTATGGATAGAACAAAGATTAGACTAGAGAATCAGAATCATGATTC